GTCGAGCGCGTAAGCGCCGCCGCTTATCGTCATTAAACTTCGCGAATTCTTGACTACGAGAAAGGCGAGAAGTTAAGGGTGTAATCGCTGTTTAGTCAGCTCACCGTGGAAGATTATCCGCTCGTTATCGCGTTATCCGCAATGCTGTCACACAGTCACGTTTCTATGGCGATTTTCACGCGGACAAGATTAACCGAAGAAAAATCAACATTTACCAATGAACTTTTCTGTGAGATAACATTACGCATTTGTTTCATGCTATAGAGAACAAGAAAGAAGCCATTCATGTCACTCATTATGTTATCCATATCGAAAATATTCACGATATCAATATATTTTAACTATTATTTCATTTTCATAATTCTTTTTTAACTCATCAACGTTCGATTGAACATTAGCCTTTTAATAATTTGAATGATCAAAGACATTATAATAAGAAAATAAAACTGCTATGCGTATTCTACCAATGAACGAAATTTATTATTCTGAATGAAGACATTTTGTGAAAATTAATTATTACATATTATAAATTTATATTAACTAAATGTTATTGTTTAAAAGTAAAATAGATAAGAATTATTCTTATATAAAAATACAAAAATGTTTTTGTAAAAAGAAAGACGTTCTTCAAATATTAACGAATAATAATAAGACGCTATTTTCTTTCGTTTAAACAAAGTTAAAGCTTATAAAATAGAATCAAAGATACAATCATCTTATAAGCAAGATATTTCATATTTCAGACGAAACTAAGTAACGAACTGTGCTCTAACTGAAAACATTTGTACGTAAAGAGTACAAAATAATCCGCGTTAAAAATTATATATTGCATAAAAAGAGAAATAATTATCGCAAATGCAGATTAATAGAAATTACGATCAATTTGTTGAACGAAAGAAAATAGCGTCTTATTATTATTCGTTAATATTTGAAGAACGTCTTTCTTTTTATAAAAACATTTTTGTATTTTTATATAAGAATAATTCTTATCTATTTTACTTTTAAATAATAACATTTAGTTAATATAAATTTATAATATGTAATAATTAATTTTCACAGAATGTCTTCATTCAGAATAATAAATTTCGTTCATTCGTTTGGTCTCAGTTCGATACAATAGTCAAATTAGCATATAACAGTATCACGATGTCAGAACGTCATCCAGAAGATAGTTGACGGCGTCAATTTGCGCGAATATGCGAACGCGTCTTGCGCGCTTCTCCGCACACACGCCGCATATCCGCTCTTCTAATAATAACATGTTTATCGAACGATGACGCGACTATTAAGCTAAACGTAGGGTTTGGGTAATTATGCGGCGGCCTATCAGGAAGGAAGCATGGCTCAGTTAACGTCATTGATATCGATGAAGCATACCCGGTCCATACTATCCCTTGCCTCCTTCCTCTTCCCAACAGCTGTATATCGCGGATCTGGGCCACCCAATTACACGCTCATCTATGATCCCGGATCTAGGAGACGTACAAATTGATCTGTCTAGGAAGTATCGCGGTACCTCAGTCGACGGAGGGGATATGGTTATGGGCATCGACGGTATCGGGACGGATTGGATAGATCCCTTTGCGCTCGGCGCACCAACCTCCTGAAGGCGGAAATTACGGATAGTGCGGATATCCCCCAATTTAACAGCCATCGTATAATGCGATATGTCTTCCCAGCGATTGCTGAGATATATTGCGAAACAGCAGGTAATCGATCGTTGCTTTCAAACCTCTCCTGAAGCTTCGATACACTCCTGTTATTTTCTTTAAAGGCTATGGCACGCAAAAATAAGACTTCTGTCTACTTACTACAGTCATCTTAAGAAAAAAAATTCCTGCAAATTGTATTAGAATGTAAGAATTTTTAAATAAAACTACATTTGTAATTAAAAGAAAAGATTTATAAAATATACTGAAAATTCCTTTTGTATTTCGATGATAAATAAGCATATATTTGAAATTGATTTATGCCTAACTAGAAAACAAAAATGCAATAATGAATTGAGTCTCAAACAGAAATAATTGATCGATCAGCACACACTCGATGTTGATTCCATATTGATTAACCAATTATTTCTGGTTGGTGTATGATTTTATTCTGTAAATAAAATAAAAGGTGAGTTTTCAGTATATTTTATAAGTTTATTAATTGCAAATATTGTTTTATTGAAAAATAATTCATTTTAATGTATTTTGCAAGATATTTCACTATGTTTTCTTGTTTTTGACGTTTTAATCTAAAGATCAAAGATAAGTAATCAAGAGTCTTAAACAGTAAGACATAAGCAAATCACGTAAATAAATCATTCTGGACTTGTTATTGCTTACGTTATTGCTTACATCTCTACTATAATTGATAGATTCGCTTACTGTTTACGTCTTATATTTTTGCCTATTATATTTTTTGTGTAACATAGCCTTAATTAAGAACAAGTCTGCGCCTCTGATTAATTCAGAAAAAAACATATTTTGATTCACGCGATCACTTTTTATACATATATGAAATATTTTATATATGAAATATTTTATTTAAGTAATGCTTATTTCTACCAATGATTAACTTTAATACCGGTTAATATATCGGTTTAATTTATTCTTTATCCTTTTCTATTCTTAGAACGTAGAAAACGAGATAAGATACATATAATTGTAAGAAATAGAAAGCTACGTATTGAACTTGTTTAAATAATAACATTTTTACGTGTTCTTTAAATATTTATTATTTCTTTCTTTATAATCGTATTTTCACAATTCTTCGTTTCTCTCTTTTAGCTCTGATTACATGATGTTTGTCGCATGTCAGTTACAACACGTTCTCAGACATGAATGAGTTAAGACAATCGCAATTTCAACGCTTATTTACGATCACGACCAAAGTGTTTGTCATTTGATACTAATGGAAATTGTCGTTTGTTTACGGCCGCAGTATCGACATTAAGCAAATCATGGCTAACTACGGTGTGCTTACAATTTGGCAGAGACGCATTGCTTGCCATGTTTGTACACGTACAGTGATAAACTTATATGGTCTTATGCTTCGTTTGCGATCATGGACTGTCATTAATAATGTCATTACATCTACTTTCAAATACCAAATGATTGATTAATCATTGCGATATTTCTCTAAACTACTATTTATACAGCTAATTGGTTTTTTTTATTACTAATGCGTTATTTTATCATGACAAAAAGTACATTAAAGATTTTATGTTATTCCTATTATTGTTCTTTATTTGCTTTTCAAAAATTGACTAATTATTAATAAAACCAAATTAATAACAATTATTAATAAATGTGATTGTTTACAATTAGTTAATTAAAATAATTAAAACATTTATCATAGAAATGATAAATATAAAAATCGTAATTTTCTTCGATTAAAATAGAACTGAGTAAAACTCGAAGGACCTCCTTGAAATAGCGCCTAATTTGCATATCAAGTAAGTCAATAATGAAATTATTTTTAAGTGCTTAATGGAAGTTTGAAATGCGACATTATCGAATTGAGAAGAGGGTTTGCATATTTTGCATACCAAAAGAATACTTTATTGGTAATATAAGGATTCTATTGTATCCATTATAAAAAAATATTCTGCAAAGATTTGTTAATTTCCGTTCCATATAAAAAATTATTAACATACTGTTCCCAACCACATTATATACGAAAAGAGTTGATTAATTAGCAAATAGTTTTGTATGCTTGTATGTAGAAATTGTAACATAAAAACAAATTTCTCTACCTTTCTTCAAAATATAATGAATAATGTAAATATAATAATATGCATAATTGTAATAACTTAATAACAGTTTTTAATAATTATAAAAATCTCATTTTGAATTATTATTATAATCTTATAACTCAAATTCAAATGATTTAAATATTTGTTATAAGTAATAATTTTAATTATTAATTACACTAGAATATTATATGCAAAATAAAATAATTAATTTATAAGCTACAAAATATAATATTCTTCAAAGAAAATAGAAAAGAGAAACAAAAGAATTTATATCAGTTTTTTATATTTTTCGGATTCAAGATAATTATTGAAATATTTATTTATGATATTTATATTATCAATATTTAATTTGCAAGATTTAAATGATGTCTGCAATTATATTTTTTCTTCTATCTAATTTTATGCATCATTAATTAAAAAAGAATTAAAATATGCAAATTAAATTCTATTGACGAATCTTTATAATACCGATCTCAGATGCTGTATTGTGTACATGGGTATTTAGAAAAGATAGTATCGCTCGCTTCCTTAGCTCAATATTAATAAGAGAGAGAAACTAATGAATTAATAAAGTCTCAAGTTTGCCGGCGGCGGAGTCGAGTCTCTTTCCCGGCACCTACCGTACGACGCATACGTACACCGAACGACGACTTGGTGTACCCGAAGCATATATACCTCCGGAAACACGACCGCAGTATGACATGCAGCTCCGTGCTTACGCGAGGAGTCTGGTGCAAGGTGGAAAGCACACCTACTGCGTGCGAAACGACGAGACTTGGCTGCTGCTGTAACAGAGGTCTCGGGAAAGTTTCCCATTATAGTCTCCCTTAACTGGTACTAGCTCTCCTCTCTGCACCGACATCCTACCTCTCCTTGATCTTCTCTCCACAGCTCCACGCTTGGCGCCTCCCTTGTCTCCCCAATCTCTTGCCTAAAGTACCGCACACCTTCGGTGGTAAGCTATGGGCTCGAACTATTCCATCGTTACCGCTATAGTTTAGTTAAACGTGCCCTTTCGCCTTGGTCCCTGGCTTGCTTCTTGCTCCTCTCTCCGATCCTCTTCGCAAT